AGGAGGGAACCTCAGTTGAGAAATGCCCCTGTAATATCACACTGTAAAGCATTTTCATAATTAGTGATGGGGGTGGGGGAGGGCCCAGCCCATTGTGGGTGGGACCATCCCTGGGCTGGTGGTCCTCCGTTCTATAAGAAAGCAGGCTGAGCAAGCCTTGGGGAGCAAGCCTTGAGGAGCAAGCCCATAAGCAGCACCCTCCATGGCCTCTGCATTAGTTCCTGCCTCCAGCTTCCTGACCTGTGTGAGTTCCTGTCCTGACTTCCTTCAGTGATGGAGTATGAGCTGAAAGTTGTAAACTGAAATAAACCCTTTCTTCTCCAGGTGTCTTTTGGTTATGATGTTTTATGACCATAACTAAGATGACAGCTATTTCTGTTACATTTGGAGCTTAACTGGAACATAATCTCACAACAAACTGAGGTGCATTTGTATGCTTGTCAAAGTCATGGGCTGCACAAAAGAGTAAATTTGTAAATGTAAAAATGTAAACTGTGGGCTTTAGTCAATAATAATGTGCCAGTGTTGGCACAGCAACTGTAACCAATTGCCTGTTATAAAAACATGTTAATAAAACATTGAGGATGAAATTAAACTGTCCTTTGTGTCAGTTTTCCCATATACCCAAAATAGCTCTTAAAATTGAAGGATACTAGTTTTTAAAAAATTAGAATAAAAAAGCCAACCAAAACCAAAAGGGGCTAGAATAAATGTAATGGCCTGAAATGGATGTAACTAGAAGAAATCATCCTGGGTGAGGTAACTCAGTCACAAAAAGACAAATGTGGTTATGTACTCACTCATATAAAACAAAGATACCACCCTAAAATCCACACTGCCAGAGAAGATAGGAAACAAGAAGGACCCTAAGAGAGACATACATGGTCCCCCAGAGAAGGGGAAAGGGACAAGATCTTCTGAGCAAATTGGGAGCATGGGAGAGGGGAGATGGAGTTAGGAGAAAGAAAAGGGGAGGAGAGGAGGGGAGAGGAGGACATGAGGGAGTAGGAAGATTGAGCCGGGGGAAGAACAGAGGAGAGCAAGAAAAGAGATACCATAATAGAGGGAGCATTATAGGTTTAAAGAGAAATCTGGCACTAGGGAAATGTCCAAAGATCTACGAGAATGATCCCAACTAACAATCTAAGCAATAGTGGGCAGGCTACCTTAAATGCCCTTCCCCTATAATGATTGATGACTACCTTATATGATATCCTAGAGCCTTCATCCAGTAGCTGATGGAAGCAGAAGCAGACACCCACAGCTAAACACTGAGGCAAACTCTTGGACTCCATTTGTAGAGAGGGAGTCAGGATGAGCAAAGGAGTCAAGACCAGGGTGGGAAAACCCACAGAAACAGCTGACCAGAACAAGTGGGATCTCATGGACCCCAGACTGATAGCTTGTAAACCAGCATAGGACCTAACCAGGCCTCCTGAACATGGGTGTCAGTTAAGAGGCCTGGGAAGTCTATGGAGCCTCTGGTAGTGGAACAATATTTATCCCTAGTGCACAAATGGACTTTGGGAGTCCATTCCCCATAGAGGGATACTCTCTCAGCCTAGACACATGGAGAAGGGCCTAGGCCCTGCCACAAATTATGTGACAGACTTTTATGATCCCCCATGGAAGGCCTCACTCTCCCTGGGGAGAAGACTAAGGATGGGATGGGGGTTGGTGGAGGGGATGGGGGGATGGGAGGGAGAGAAAACTGGATTGAAATATAAAATAAGTTTGTTTCTAATTTAAGTAAAAAGAAAAAACAATGACCTGCAGGCCAAGCTCCTGGGAGCCTGATGTCAGAAGCAAAGAAACCAGAGATGCCGCTGCAGGATAGCACCTATAGCATCAGGCCTGTTGTAGAACACTGTCACAGCATGGCCAGTGCTACTCTGAAATCCCAGTACTGTGATTACTCACAGAACTGGACACACTAACACTCCCTAATGAGGGTTCACAAGCTACACAAGGCAGGACAAAAGGGACATGCTCAGAGGCGACACATAAAACCTCACGGGAGGCTCCAGCACTCCCAAAGAATAAGGTTAACAGTGGCTGGGAAGGAAGCTTTTCTTTGGTGGTGTAGCTGCTTATAAGTTTCCCATGCTCCCGTAAGTAAATTAAAGTCACAGGTTCACCAAGCTAGACTTGGTAGACTCATTCTTTGGTCTGCTGTTGGTGAGCACACATTTGTTCACAACTCTCCAGAAAAAGTTGACACAACATGGATGAAGACACAGCTGCTTGGTGACAGGGACAGGTTCTCTGTCTTGGGTCATGCTGTACTTGGTGTGGAAAGAATAATATACTCTTAGTCCACAGGAGACGAGAATGACCCAGAGAATGCATGACTAAAACTTTACGTTTTATTTTTATTACTACTTTACATACCTGTTAAGTGTGGAGTTGACATTGTGAGTGGCTTGGACCCTTTATTTACTACCTGGTTGAGGGATTATCAGGAGCTGTGAAACAGGCAGTGTAACCCTGGAGTATAACCTTGGAGTCACTGCAATAGGCAGATGATATGCCTAAAGATAAACCCAAACTGTCTCAAGCTCAGAGAAGGGTGTTGTGGGATACTTTGATTACATTCTAACATTGCAGAGACTGACAATGAAGTTTGATTTGAATCAGAGGGTGAAGCTAGACGCTAGGTTACCAAAATTAGCCATAGAGGTTTTGGAGGACTGAGGACAGATAGACACAGGAAATAGTATGGCAGGGCTTAGAGAGAGTCTTGGCCTTTCTGAAATGAGGAACAAGAAAGGGAGGAGATCATTGGTTGCTTCTCTGCTGCCTCTCTGATCATTTAGGTTCTTTCCCCAATATCTGACTCCCGATATTTCATTGATAAATAATAATTAGATGAACACTTCAGAAGGGGGCCTCAGAGAAGTCCATCTCCTCTTGATTGCCCTCCAATACCCCCCACAAAGGCCCGTCCCTTGATGATACACTCCGGTTTAGACTCCCGCATACCCTCCATCAGCAATCATTCCTTAGCAGTCATAGGGAACTGGCTCGCAGACTCGTCCCTCTAAAACACAAAGCCCAAGGATGCTCAAGTCCCTTACATGAAATGGTACGGCATTTGCAGGTCTCCTCACACGTTAAACCATCCAGACAATATGGAGACAGCCAAGACCATGTAAATCCTATAAAACAGTTACGCTGTATCGTTTAGGGGATGATAACAAGGAACTATGTTTGCTCAGCACAGACCCAATTTAAAAGCTGTGTTTTCAATCTATGGTTGACTGGATCTGTGAGTGCAGAGTCTGCTGGCACAGAGACCTTGTACGCCTCAGAATCAGCAGAGGAAGGCTCCAATTAAGCAAATGTGTGGGCAAGTGGGAGGGGACGAGTGTTTCTGCTAGGATTCATGTCCTACACTAGAAGCCCAGAAGCTAAATGGGCGTCCAAGGAGATGACTGAGGAAGCATAGATGAAGGAGAAGCTGGGAGGGGAGGGGATAATGGGGACAACAGGCATGCGAAAGGTACCTTTGTAGGGTCTCGGGTAGGGACACAAAAGGAACAGGGTAGAAATAGGCATTTGGGAGTGAGTGGCCAGACAAAGGTGACATAGAGCAAGGAAGCCCGTCCCACACCCTTACTGCAGCCAGTCAGATTAATCTGTTTATTATTACTTTTTAAAAACAAAACTAAAAATCTTTGAGAAGTGCATTCATCACAGTTAAAAGCTTCCCGGAACTTGTCTGCAGGACATCAGGTCTGGCGAGGCAGAAGTGAGAGCTGTGGCATTGCTTGTCAGCCCAAGCCACCTCCGCATCTCTGCTTTGCCTCTGTCGCCGCTTCTCTTGCTGCCATGGGACGACGCAGTCAGCCCCATGCCTGAACTCAGCCGTCCAGCATCAAGGCGTTGCAGCCCCGGCCAGCTTGGCCGTGGTGCCCAGCATAGCCGGTGCCTGACAGGCTCCCCTGGGGAGAGGTTCTAAAATGTTCACAAAGCAGGCAGCAGTCCAGGGACCCAGACTGAGGTCCTCAGGAGGCTGATTCAAAGGCCCGGGGTCTTCTCAGCCTGTAGTGCCAGCTCCTTCCTTTGCCCTCCTGAGTCAGAGGGTGGAAACAGTGAGGCCATCACCGCTCGTGCTTACTGTTGGCCTCACTTCGCTCTAGGGTGACTCCATTGCCATTCCTGGGGACTTCCTTCTTGCCCCAGTCCTTTTCCATGTACAACTCAGCAAGCACGGGGCAGTGTTCAGAAGCGACTCCACCCCAGGACCAGTTATCTGGGATCCAAGGGTTAGTGAGACCTTCTCTCACAACAGCCCAGTGACCTGGAAAGAGAGGAGACCGAGAATTAGGACAAGGGGTGATCAGCACTGCCCACCTGTAAGTCCAGGTGCCCTGGTGGCCTCCCTTGGTAAGCTGGACCACACAACCAGGAGCTCAGGGACATTTTATCATTTCATTTTTTTATATAATGTAAAGATGGAGGTTTATTTAACACAGGCATTGGAAGCACCCAGAGACCAGGCCCTTGTCCAGTTAAACAGTGTGCAGGAGGATCTACTCCTTGTTTGTGCAAGGATACTAATATGGCCAACAAAACTAAATCTTTTTTTTTTTTGCTTTTTTTATTATTTATTTTTAAGTTTAAATTTAGATTAGAAACAAGGTTGCTTCACAAGTCAGTTCCAGGTCCCTCACCCTCCATGGGGGTGTCCATAGTCTGTCATTTCATCCAGGGCAGGGCCTAGACCCTCCCCCAAGAGTTCAGGGTGAGAGTGCATCTCACATTGTTGAATGGGAGTCCAAAGTCCATTTGTATACCCGGGATAAATACTGATCTACTGCCCAAGGCTCAATAGATTAACTAGGCCTCCTCACTGACACCCACATTCAGGGGGTCTTGATCAGTCCCATGCTGGATTCCCAGGCTGATGCCTGGGATTCAAGAGTTAACCTTTGTCAGGTCAGCTGTTTCTGGGGGTTAAACCAGACCAGTCTTAATCCCTTTGGTCATCAGTCCTCCCTTCTGTTACTGGCTTTCTTGAGTTCAGCTCAGTGCTTAGCTGAGTGCAAACTAAATCTTTTTTAAACTATTCTTTTTTGTTAATGTTTAGTTTATTCTTAAAATCTTTACACATATATACAATGTGTCTTGTTCCTATCCACCCCAATCTCTCAAACTCCCCCCTGATCCCTCAAATATATCTCCCTCCCAACTTCATGCCCTCTTTTTTATGATAAACTGAGTCGAATCAATATTTTAATTTAAATACATGAACTAGAATTACATATGGAAACAACAAATGATGACAAAACAATTACAGGGCACTGTTGCAGTCCTCTGTGATACGTGACGTCAGGGCTAATGTAAGATCTGAAGGGCCTGGACTCTGGGTTTGTCCTGGGCACTGTAGCTGACAGCTGTGGCAAGGGAACTTGTCCCTATACCTCAGCTTGGGGTGGGGGTGCGGCAGAAGAAAGTATGGCTCAGATTCCCTATTCTTGACACACGTGCCTCCCACAAATGTCCACCAGGGAACCTAGCAGGCCCTGGCCTCCAAAGCACTTTTGCAAATTACATCTTGCCTCAGATGAGACAGCCAGTGCTCACTTGAGCCCAGTAGGAGACCAGTGTGCAGAGAGAAGAAAGTGCTGGAACACAGTCCACACTGGGAACTCCAAATCCCAAGGACCTGGGCCCTGACTGTGCGGTGGCATCTTGCAGCGGGGCCCAGGAACTGCTTCTTTTCCTGTCTAAGTCCCTCACTGAGCGACATGACGCATCCACTGGGGTTCTGCAAAGTGGCAGGAGAGGCTGACAATGTCATGCTCGTCTTTCATCAAAGACCCCGCTGCAGGTCAGGGGACGGTGCTTGGCCTCCTGAGCATCTAAAGGCCCTGCGGTTCCCTCAGTCTGCAGTACTGAAGAGCCTACTGTTCTTCCACACTGCCAGCTGTGGGTCACAGGCATCTCCATCACGCTGTGTTCCTTGTGCAGCTCTGAGCACTCCTCTCACCGTGCTGTGATTATGTGTTACAACTTGGTCCCTAAATGTCCCCAACAAGCTCGTGTGTTGTAGGCGTGGTTCCCAGATGATGGTACTAGCGGGAGGTGACAGAGGTTGAGGAGGTGGGGGAAATTACATCACTGGATACAAGCCCTTTCAGGGACACTGGACTCCAGCCCCTCCTAGGATCCTTCCCTCTCCTTTCTGGCTGCTTTCAGACGTATGTGAGGGGAGGGACAGAGGAAAGAATGGTTCGCATTCACGATTCCTGACACAGGTGCCTTCCAGGGGTGCCACACATCTCCACCATGTACTATCTCACTAGAGGTCTAAAAGCAACAGGCCAGGCGACCACGGTCTGAAGCATTTGAAAGTATGAGTCAAAGTAAACCTTTCTTCCTTATAGGCTGGTTATCTTGGGCCCATTTGTCACAGTGATAGAAACACTAACAGTGACGTGTCTCCTTGCCTCTCAAAGTGTGTAGTATACCTCATCCACAGCATTTGAACACTTGACGAATGCTCACTGGATGACTAAGTGTCCTTAAAGTTCAGGCAGTTTATCAGTTCATCTCTGAATCATGACCCTGTGACCTTCAGAGGTATCGACAGCTGGGTTTGCATGTAAAACGTCTACGTGGATTTAATGGTTACCTTTAAATTACTTGGCACAAGCCCTTCCCTCTTAGATGTGCCTCTGACCAATGACAGTCTTTCCTTTTTATCATAAACCTGTCAGTATCTGCGGAAGAGGGAAGATAATATCAGTCACCTCAGATGCTTGTACGGGGCCATGGCCTGTGAGTGAACACCGACAGCTCAGGGCACAGGGGTGGGGGCCGTTCCCCTACCTGTGAACACTTTCTTTAAGCTTTTGCTGATCCAGATGTTGTCCACAGACTTGGAGCCCTGGGGATTCCTGGTGCTGATGTTGGTGAAGGTGTGAGCTGGGATCAGGTGATGGAATTTTTCTCTCCTTAGGATGTCATAGTCACTGCTATCTGGCCCTTGGCCAAAATCCCCTAAAATAACAACATCTTTTTCTCCTGGAAATGGAAGAAAGAAACTCAGGAAGTAAAGAACAGATGTGAAGCAAAACCCACCCCTGACCCCACCAACCAGAGGGGACAGGCATTGCCTGGCTTGCCCACTCAGGGTTGGGGCCACGGGTCTAGCTCTCATTCTCCTGGTATTTTTTATGCAGCCACTGGCAATAAGCATAGGATAATTTGAAAATGAGGGGCAGTATGAGACAGGAGCACCCCATTCAGTCTCTCTGGGCCCTACACTTACAGTGAGAAAAGGAAAAAAGGCCCTGCTTAGATAGCTAACAGAAACTTAGCAAACCTTTAAGCTCCTCACAACCTGCCCGTGCGGGAGTCACGGATGAAGAAAACACAATTACTTTGAGACAAGATGTTCCTAAGTTGCCCGGGATGGCCTTTTTCACCCTGCAACCCCAGCCGGCCTTGACTATGCACTGCCCTGTCTAGGCTTCCCACAAGAGCTACAAGAATGGTTGTACAGATTAACGCGACAGAGTAGCATTTCTATGAACACTGCTTCCTGTCCCTGTCCTAGGAGAGGCAGCTTGGCGACTCTGGGCATTGCCGCCTCTCAGCTTGGTGGCCTTAGGCAGAGAATAATCCATTTCCTGTTAGCTGTTGTCAAACGTGGAAGACCCAAGTTCCCATGAGCGCCTGGCACAGGACCTCCCACGCAGCACAAGCCTCCTCCCTCCTCTCCTGAGCCATGCTAACAAGAGTCCCACAGAGAAACAGGAGCAGAAATACACTTGTGTGTAAGAGAGGGCTACAAAGTGAGGGTGGGAGCCAAGTGGAAGGGTGTCTCTTTGAAGTATTTTAGATTTTTCCCTCACAGCCTGCAGGAAATGGAATGGTTATGAAGTATTTCCCAAGTAATGTGAATAGGAATTTGAAAAGAACAATGGCCCCCAGCCAGGCTCTGCTAGATTCCCAAGGACAGGGCTGACCCTTGTGGGGAATTCACTGCAGGGGAGCCATGGGCCCTAGGTAATGAGGTTTCTGTTGCACTCTGTGAGAGGCACTTTAGAGAAAGCAGTTCATAAACAAAATAGCATATCTGAGAAAATTCCTTTTCTTCAGTATGCATATGCAGTATTAATAATAGCTAAAAGGAAAGAAAGGGAAATGACACATGAGGCCAGCAGGGGGCACTTGTGTGCTGCAAATGATGCCCTCCTCCAGGAGGACCCAACAGAAGCCTCTTGTGCTGCTCTGCTTCCTCGCATATAGATCCACCATACAATTCAGGGTGAGCCCAGGCTCTCTGGGGAAATCGATGCCAGTCTCTAACAGGAAAACCAACTTGAGAGTGTTGCTGATCACAAGCCACACCTGACCAGGGTCAATGACCAGTCACCAAGCCCTTCCGATGCCTTAGGCCCTACACTGACCACTTACTGGACAGCGTGTCACTTAACTGCCACTGCTCCCACGAGGCAGATGACGTCAGCCAGATCTCAGACTCTGAAAACTGAATAGTTTGCCCACAGTCGCAGAGGTGGCCCTCGAACCCAGAGTTTTTCACGAGGAGCTAGGGAGGAAACGGCTCAGGGCTGCTGTTTGCCCCAACCCATCAAGAACTCAGATCAGGGCCTGCTGCACAGCAGACAATGAGCCTGTGCTGAATGAACCAGTGTGGTAGAAAGAAGACCTCTGCTTGAAGGCAAATGTTGGGTAGGAAACCCTGAGGTTCTGGGAGATGGAGGCAGACAATTCCCACACAAGTGGAGACGGCTTTCAGTGGGGTGCAGACCTGAGCTTTGCTGGGAAAGGGCAGCTTGGCGAGCAGGAGGGAAGCTGGTGTCAGGGGTCAATCAGCCAGTTCTGCGTCGCTTTGCAAATGAACACAAAGGCTCTTTCTTAATGGGCACATCCATATTTCTCACAACTTATTCTTCCAGCTAAGCGTGTGTCAGATGTCACACGGCAGAAACTGTACCCCTGAGAGCATGCAGCCACAGATGCCCCAAGATTCTCCTCTTTAGTCCCATGCCTGCCTTGGCTACCTACTCACTGCTCCCTGAGTTCCTAGGAGGGAAGAATGTTCTGGGTCAATTTCCCCAGAGATTCCCTTGATTTAGAAAGGACCAGTAACCCCTCTGAATGTGGGTGACAGTAGTGTGGCTTGGGAAGTCTGTGGGGACACCGGCAGTGGGACCAGGATTGACCCCTAGTGCTTGAATTGGCTTTTTTGGAGCACGTTCTCTTTAGAGGGATACCTTGCTCAGCTTAGACGTGGGGGAGGGAGGTGCATTGGTTTCTGCCTCAAAGTAAGGTGCCAGGGTTCCTTGACTCCCCAGTGGGAAGCCTTACCCTCTCTGAGGAGTGGATGGGGTGGGGTGGGGGGAGTGAGGGGGTAGCAGGAGGAGAGGAGGGAGTGGGAACTGGGATCGGTATGTAAAACGAGAAAAGATTGTTTTTAAAATTAAAAAAAATGATAATAAAAAAAGAAAGGGCCAGTGACAACTGAAATGGGTCTCCACTGAGGTGCACTCCTACCTGAGGACCTTCCTACCGGAGGCTGTGAGCAGTGCAATCTATACTTACGGGGCTCACAGAAGGAGACCCTGTCCTCAAGCCCTGTTAGGTTGGAGGAGCGTTCTGTGAAAGGACAAGCATAGGATGTCTGGTGCCAACTGGGATTCGCCTTGTAGACAAAGGCAGAAAGGCCTGGAGTCTGCAAATGACATGTCTGTCTCTGTGTGGAAAGGCAGCTTTATCTTCCTTTGAGCAGAACCCTGCACTCATCGATTTTCCTTTGTCACAGGCTGAAGCACTTCCTGAATTCCCTGGGTCACCAGTTAACATTTAACTGAGTATTAGTTACAAGCAGCAACATGGGGGGTATGAGTCACTGTCCCTACCTGAATGTGTCAAGGCTGAGTCATACTGTGGGTCAATCAGTAGTCCCTTGGAAATGTAGAACCTGTCTGAAGTTTTCGGACAAAATCTTGAGCTCACCCTGGAGACCAAGGGGCAAATGGTATCTGCTCCAGGCTATCAGAAAAATTATGAACCAGCATCTTTCCTTTCTGCATCTATGACATAGAGACGAATAGAAATGTCCACCAATATGAAAAGGTCCCATGTCATCCTTTTAATAGGTGAGAGACTAGCTGTGGGTGAAGAGTTTCCCACATGACTACTTGTTGGATGGGGTTTCTCAGTTTGAACTGTTTTCCAACCGTTTGCTCAATGGTTTTTCAGCCTGAAGATTCATCATTTAAGAAGAATGCTGGTCAGAGCAGGTCCTGACTTAAAACATAAACCTGTACATTCGCACAAAAGTGGAAGCAACCCTACCAACAGATGTGTGGGTACACAATAAAATGTGGCACACACAAACAATAGAATATTATTCAGCCACAAAAGAATGGGACATCTAACACATGACACTACACACTAATCTGGAAAATACTAAGCTAAGTGAGAAAAGCCAGATACAGAGGGAAAGGAAACACCATGTGATTCTCCTTATATGAAGCATGTTGTCAAATTCACACATACAAAAAGATAGAACGGCAGTTGCTGGACACCGAAGGAACAGAGGATCAAGATTCAGTAAGTACAGAGTTTAAGAATGAAAATGACAGTGTTCTGGAGATGGAAGGTGGTGACAGAAACACAACAGTGTGAATGTACTGAATGCCATGAACTGCAGACCATCATAATGACAAATTTCATGTCTATTTTACTACAATAAAAAAGCTTTGAAAACACAGAGTTATAACTAGACAGAAACATTTCTGCAGCCAGTCATTCACTGACTCTCCACCGTGATGGCATAAGTTGATAACAAAAAGTCGAGGAAGATTGGAGAGCAGTCAAGACTCAAGAATATGGGAGGAATTTCAAGGTCTTCAGACGCAATCCTTTCACCTTGTCAACTCCTGTCCCTCTTCCACAAGAACGTGTTCAGATTTGCGGGTGGTGCCACCAGAGAAGTAGGCCCAGGATGGGTTGTCACAGGTGGGGAATACCACCACTCACGTTTGCTCTAGTTCTCCCTATCCAAGAGGCTGACAGACCACATTGCCGACACCTTGGCATCCAGCGCAGAGGCCCTCAGACACAAAAGTGGGTTACACAGAAAGGTCAGCCAGGCTCTATGAGAGCAGAGACTGTGGCTGCCTCCGGGTCCATGACTGTTGGCCAATGGCTGGCCTAAGAGGTCAGAGAGATGTCTGGAAAGAGGTACCACTGTCTGCCCTGAAGAAGTGCTGCTCAGCCACAGAGAAAAGAGAATCCCTACCTTTCAGAGTTTCCTGTAGAGTTAGTGCAAAGTTCAACACCCGGTGGCCATCGCTGTGATTCTTGCTAGGATTCTCAGCTCCTGGGAGGGCCAGGGCTGTCAGATGAAGGTTAACCAGGGTCAAGTCATTACTTCCCACCTAAGTAGCAGGAAATGAAGCAAAAGAAAAAAACCTTAGATACTCATGGTTCTTTTATCTTTTACAACTGATTCATAAATAGCTCTGTGCATACAGCTGGCAATGGTAAACGGAAGCAAAGCTTGCTCACATGCACTGGAGGCAACATGAGGTATTTTAGTTCAGATTCCTGTACTCTAAGGTCCACCACTAATACTCTTCCAGCCTCCTACCTACTCCTTCAGATCTAAAAACCTTCGCATATCTGGAAGTGTTAGGATTTTTGTAAATCTTTAGAGCAATCGTACACAAGAGAAGGTGTCTCTAGTGTCTAGATGTTACAAACCCAAGGCTCTTATCCACAAGGCTAGCATAAAGTTCCCCACCCAGTCCTCTTTGTTCCTTTAGAACCAACTGTGTGCTAAAATCCACTTTAACCTGGTTTCCTCTGTAAAAACCAGAGTTCACCAACACTTGGCAGAAGATACACCCAGATCCTGGGCCCCAAGATGGCTCTCATGGTCTTAAAGTGTGTGCATATAAGGGCAGTTTATCTTCTAGGTGATCATAACACTGCTCAGCTGCCCGAGTTTAGCAGTTCTGCCTTTTCAATTGCTATGGCAACAAACACTTCTGAGAAAGGATGAGTGTAGGGGCCCCAGGAAGTGCAAAGTGCCAGTCTCGTCTTGTAGGTGTGTCCCCAGGTCACCATCATCACACCCAGGACTGACTGTTACTGTCACTGCCAGAAAAACAGCTTGAGACTTGGACTGGGACATACTGCCTGTAAGGATAAACTCTCTGTGTCCCAGATCATCGTCCTTGCCTTGAACTTGAAGAACAAGAAAGTCAAGGGCTGAGCTGGGTGAAGCCGTCCCTCCTGATGCCACAGCTAGTATATTTTTATTAGCCTATTAAAAATAGTTTGCCTTTTCATGTTAACTAAAAATGGTGCTTTACAAGTTGTTTTTGCAAGGTTCTAGGTATGGTAGCTCACTCTGTAATGCCAGCACTAGGGAAGCTGAGAGTCTAGGAATGGGAGATTCACTATGTAGTCCACATAGAGATTCTTTTTCAAAAAATGACAATAGTACCAAAAAAAAAATAACAACTTGCTTTTTAGCTACATGAGATGGTTATGGCTACTGTTTCAGTAAGCCAGGGCCAGAACAACTCACTTACGATCAAAAGTTAAACAGTGTGCCGGGCGGTGGTGGCACACACCTTTAATCCCAGCACTCGGGAGGCAGAGGCAGTCGGATCTCTGTGAGTTCGAGGCTAGGCTGGACCGACAGCCTCCAAAACAATACAGAGAAACCCAGTCTCGTAAAACCAAAAAAAAAAAAAAAAAAGTTAAACAGTGGTAGGTTTAAAGACAATCCTGGTCAACTCAAATATCAGAACCACAGGTGCCACCATGTGTCCAGACAGAACCTCATCAGGAAGAGGGATAGAAGGAGTCACTGAGTGCCACAACAGACACATCTGTGTGTGAGCATACACCAATCCCATCACCTCTAAAGCTAAAAATATGAGAAGTGACGTACAGGCTTATACATCTCCTGCCACAGGCTGTCCCCAAGCCCCATCTCCTGCTAGAGATAAATGACGCGGGGCTTATGGGTAAGCTCCAGAGTTGCTGCGGGGCACATGGAAAGAACGGGTCTCAAAGCCCAATAGAGAATGGGCTTTCCGGGCCCTTGTAAGGGATCAAGACCTAGGATTCACAGTTAAGCAGAGATGAATTCCATTGCCTCTGTAGTGACATTCTGGCTGCCTTTCTCTTGTCTTGTTCAGCATCTCAGAACACTCCCCAGAGCCATGTAGGTCACAGCAGGATGGCACTCAGATCCACCTGCCTAGCTGCTCCCAGGCATGGCTGACATGGCTTCTTCACGGGCACCGATATATATGGAGATGCCAGGGACAGAGGTCCCTTCAGCCCAGAGCTCCTTCTAGATTCCACCTCCAATTCAACAAGTCCTCAGTGGGCCCCTTCTTCCTGACTTCTAAACAATAGGCCCAATGGGCAGTTGAAAGCTGCTCCTTAGAGCAGCTCTGCCAAATGTGGCCATGCTGAAACCCCCCACTAACTAGTACCAGGCAGGTAAGACCACTACACATACACACACACACACACACACACACTAACTAGTACCTGGCATGTAGGACCACTGCACACACTTTTGAAAGCAGACTGGTCCATATCCCAGAAGGGCAAGGCTTGGGGAATGAATGAATTTAAGAAAGGTAATTCTTGGCCAGGTGGTGGCGGAATGCACCTTTAATCCCAGAACCTGGGAGGCAGAAGCAGGTAGATCTTTATGAGTTTGAGGCTAGACTGGTCTGCAAAGCTAGTTCAAGAATAAGCTCCAACGCTACACAGAGAAACCCTATCTTGAAGAAAAAAAGGAAGAAAGGGGGAGGGAAGAAGAAGGGGAGGGAGGGAGGGAGGAAAAGAAAGGTGATTTTTCTGTATATCATGTATGGGAACAGCCATATGAATTTGTTTTCCATTTTTCTCCCTTCTCTTCTATCTGTCTATCTGTCCATCTATCTATCAGTCTATCTACCTGTTTATGAGGACGAGTTTTGCTATGTTTCCTAGATGGTCTTGAACTCCTGGACTCAAGCAATACTTCTGCTGAAACAAGGGTGTACCATTCCTCCCATTCTTTCCATGAGTTAGATTTTTCTGGGGCTATGATTCCCTCAGAAATTCCTCCACTCATGTCCTGCAGAAGGTTACCTACCAGGGAAGCCTCCAGAATGGGTACTGATCATACTCTAAGAGAAAAAAAAAAATCAATTGAGAGAAAGATATGACTTCTTGGGTCACAGTGTGACAAGGACTTCCCCTTTGGAAGGAACTGGATTTCTAAAATGACAGAAGCAAGTACCTTGAACCTGGCGAGGAACGGATTCGGACCCACAGCCTTCCCATGACCGTTGCTGGGTGAGCTCTCTTGTCCCAGGATGTCCCTCAGCTCCACACTGGCTGCTGTGTCCCACAGGAATCCAGAGTAGCAGGGGCCCTGCAGTGCAGACAGAAACAGGGTCTTGGTATGAGGTTCCTAATTCCAAGAACCACACAGCATAGGGAAGGGCAGAGGGGCCAGACACACGGCAGCGGGCTCTGCTTCTCAAGGTCACTCGCACAAGGTCACTCTGATGAAGACCATACCTCCAAGTCACAGTGCACCCAGCACCATGCCCACTGCAGAGTTTTACTCATGGCCAAGGTTGCCTGCCTCTTCCCTTTATGGCAGGAGGTAAGGGAAGCATAGACCAGGCCCAGAAGCACTTTTTAAACCATTATATTCCATGAGGCAACAGGTCACATCTCCATTTGACAAGAGGAGGCCATTGCTGCTAAGAGAGGTTGGGTAACTTCCCTAAAACCCCACAGTGTAAGTGCTGATGTGAGGGTTCAAAGATTAGGTTCTGGAGGCAGGTATTGTGTGTTGATAAGTCACTGCTTACACAAATGCTGCCTAGCCCCTAGTCACTTCCCAGTCAGTATCTGCCAGATGTACGGAAGTCAGTGCTTAGGGTTCTAGTGACTCGGAACTGAACAAAGGCCCTCTGCAGATGGACAGGGATGCACGCAGGTCTGAAGCCTGGGTTGCAGACCCTGATGTGGAGGTGCAGACAAACTTGGGGTGTAGTGGGCACAGTTCTGGGCCCCCTTCTGACTCTAGGAATCAGAGGAGTAGCTCCCATGCTGTCTGCTTCTGCCACTGCCTCGGGGGCCTTGCAGAACAAGAAAAACGTTGGTCCACCTATTCCAGTTAAGCACTGCTGGCTACCAGGGCATTCGCCAAGTGTCTGATACCAGAGACAGATCAACAGGTCACGAAGCAGGCCAGCAGCACTTGTCATGGCTCCTCTTTGTTGAGCAGCTGCTGGCTGGCTACCTCTGAGCAGCTGCTGCCACACTTACAACCTCAGCTCACATCGCAGATGGACATTTGACAGGCACACCTTCCTCCCTTGAACAGGCGTGTTTAGGACAGAAGTATCAGGGACATGAATGTGAGCCTTTTATGTTGTGCGACCTTCTTGCCCACCACTAAAGCTCACACCAGTTTAAGCACGGTCACACCTGGGTCTCAGTCCAGCTGTGTCTGGGAACCGTGGGACCCAGGCAATCCCCTCAGGGTGTCTAAGACTCGTGAAGACAGAAAGAATGAAGTCACTACAGTGAGCTGTGGAGTTGAGGCTGTTATTTTGTTATTGTTCCCCAAGAAGAAGTTCCAGAGCAAGCTTCCTCAGGCATCACATCATCTGTCTGAAATCCAGCCCAGCCCCATAATCCTCCAGGATATGGTAGCAGGTGGCCTCCAAGGAGGACTGCTTTCCAGTGCTGCTCCTCAGACCTGTCTAACCCACACCCAGCTTCTCTAGACCTTTCTCTGATCCTCTCCCAGGCACTCTTCTCAGACATGACTTGGGTGGCCAGGACAGCCACAGCCATTGAAAAGCACTCATGCCAGAGATAGTTCACTGGACTCAGGGTGAATTTCCACTTCCAACCACAGGGGCCTGCTTTGGGGAAAATCATCTCTTCCTACATCTCTCTGCTTTCTCATTGTGAACTGCCCCTCCAGTTGGTACCTGGATATGACTCCAGGGTTCAGAGACACAACAGCTGTTCAGCATATGGGCTGTAGGTTCATAGCTATGGGTATATGATGTTTGACTTCCATTGTATTTAAAAATAATTTTTGGATCTGTGCATCTTTAAAACTTAAGAAACAGAGGAGGGGAGGGCGAGGGAGCTGAGACTGACATGTCAAGCAAGCTTGTTTCTAATTCAAATAAAAAATAAAATTTAAGAAAGTGATGTCATGATAGCAAGTGGCTAGGCAGGGATCCCAGTTCAAAGCCACCATCACCTGAGGGACATCCCACCAAGCCCTAGTCTGTGCTCCATTACTGAAGCACCCTAACACTCAACTATCTCCTCTGATACTAGGGATGGTCTATGAAATGAAGACAGAGGCTACTGTTCCCATGGTGCAGATGACGTAACTAAGGCAGAGTGCCCTCATTGACTATACTCTGATGGCCTTGACTCCCCTCCTAAAGGAATCTGAGCTGACATGTTCCACTAAATGGCTGTAAACTTAATGACAGGAACGGGGATACCCAGTAGTTCTTATAAAAAATAGTCACAGATAGGGCTGGGTGGCTGGTCTGTTTTTCTCACATATACATGAATAACCTCTCATGAATGATCTGTTGAATAAATGAGTGAATGAATAAGGATGAATAGACTCTAAGAGTCACATGAATTTTCACATGCTGATATCCATGTAAAATGCTTAAATTAAAAAAATGGAGCAAAGTGGCATTATTGTTTGCGTGGAGTAAAAGGCCCTGGACTAAATTTGGAAAACCAGATGCATCCCACACGAGCTCCTTTCAGCCCACTGAGAACTCACTGTCCACTACAAGGCTGTTTCCACCCCAAAACAGCAAACCCAGAGAAGGGAGTTACATGCACAGTTTTCAGTAGTCAGTGAAAAGAGGGGGTTTTGGTCAATACTAATTAACAAATAGATAATTTTAATCTAGACTACATTGATAATTTAAGAGCCCAAATTACAAGTATCCATCATGTAAATACAACATATAATTCATAATGTTGTGAGCAGATGAGGCATATTAGAACCTTTAAAAATATGCATTTGTGCAAAAAATATAAAGATGCTTTTTCAACTCAAGTGATTATAAGAAATATTCTTGAAAATAAAGAACCCAGGCTAGGGAGACACTCAGTTAGTAGAATACCTGTCATACAGGCATAGGGACCTGAGTTCAGAGCCCAGAGCTCACCTAAAAAACTGAATGCCATGGCCTGTGCCTGCAACCCCAGCACTTGGGAGAGAAGGTAGAGAGAGTGGATCCCTGAAGCTCACCGACTACCAGTCTGAATCTGTGAGGTCCTAGTTCATTGAGAGACCTTGTCTCAAGGGGAGTGCCAGCATATAATCCCACTGCCAGAGAATCTGGGAAACAGAACCTTCATCCAGTGACTGATGAAAGCAGAGGCAGATACCCACAGACAAACACTGAACTGAACTCCTGGAATCCAGTGTCAGAAATGGAGAACTGATGGGCAAAGGAGTTAAGACTGGGCTGGTTTAACCCACAGAAACAGTTGACCTGAACAAGGGGGAGCTCTTGAACCCCAGATTGATAGCTGTGTGGAAAGCATGGGACTGACCCAGACCCCCTGAAGGTAGGTGTCAGTGAGGAGGCCTAGGTAATCTATGAGACCTTGGGTAGTTATTTATCCCTGGCATACAAATAGGCATTGAGTGCCCATGCCACAATGAGGGATGCTCTCTCAACCTGGACTCGTGAAGGAAGGCCTAGACCCTACCCTGTATGACATGACAGACTCTGGAGATCCACCATGGAGGGCCTCGCCCTCCCTGGGGATTGGAGTGGAAATTGGGTGGGGGACTGGGGGGGTCTGGTAGGAAGGGGTGGGGAGGAGGGGAGTTAGAGGGAGCTGGGATTGACATGTGAAACAAGCTTGTTTCTAACTTAAATTTTTTTAAAAAAGAAAGAAATAAAAAAAGAAAAGGTGGAGAACAAAGGAGGAAGACACTTGATGGTAACCTCAACCTCCTACCCCTAAAAAAAAAAAAACAAAAAAACAAAAAAAGCCCAAACCCTAAGAGCCTGGTGATCTAAACATTCCAAGGTGGGTAAGTTTGGGTGTGAATATACATGGGAATGAAAATGCTCATATGCAGATTAATCCACATCTTCAAGGACTATAGAGAAGGAAATTTCAACAGAGCACCTCCTGATACCTAAGTTCCACCACTGAAAGCAATGCTTCATGTGTGAACTACAGTGGGCATGAATTCTCAGCCAGTGAATGATGAGCTTCTGCAGACTTAGCAGAGGGCAGAACTATGACCCAGGGAATACAAGAACAAAGGACAGATATATAGACAAATGCAGAGATGCGTTGGTTCCAGACAGGTTTTCTACTCCCAAGATGCTAAGCTCCCATTTCTATCTGGGCAGAAATAAACCTGATCAAAATACAAAGTGAGGCCTAGGGCATTAGAAACAACTAAAAGTTAGGGCAGATATGTGAAACTGGACCAAGGATATTGAAAAGGGAAAATATAAATTGTCCTTTATTTGGGGAAAATATTGTGTTTAAATACAAAAACATGCAGGGCTGTTGTGCAGGGGTACCTTCTGGAGCTGGCTCGAAGGCTTCTCAGCAATAACGGACCTCCAGCATCCTCGGGACCCCTTCCACTTTCGAATGTTGGGCAGGATTGGCTGGTTTAGCTCTGTACAGAACTGCAAAGACAGAACACAGGTCAGTGTGTCTAGTCCTCGTACACGGCATCCTTAGAAACTAGACACAGATGATTCCGAGTCACCACACAACAGATAAAAGATCCTGACCTTCATCCCTGTGTTCTCAAAGACCAGGGGTTGCAATGTACAGTCTGTCTACTATAAAATAGATACATAAAAATTTTAACAAAGCAAAAAAGAGGCTCTGCAAAGATCCACACATCTAAACTACCATCGCAAACTAGAAAGCAAGTATTTATCATCTGACAAGCCATTATCACCTGAGGAGAAATGGATTCTCTGTATTGTTCTAGTCTTTAGCATTTCAGAAAGGTCCCTCTACACACTGTGACACCAGTAGATTCAAGGTTCCCAGGAGCACCTGGATGCAGATCAAACCCAAAGGAGTGCCTTTGCTCCCCAGTGCTTGCTTAGCTTAGAGGGGCCAAAAATGACCCCAGCTTAATTCTGAACCAACAAATTATTCCGTCTGTTTCCCCTCTGTCCCGGGTTGCTACCACAGCCTGTGCACATGGCAATGGTATGCATGGCTACTTTTATTTCTTCTCTCTTCTTCTTTTGAGATAAAATCTCACCACATGGCCTAGTCCAGCTTCAAATTCACAGTACTCCTGCCACAGCCTCCTCAGTGCTATAAATTAAAAGTGTCCACCACAGCATCTGGCTCAGAGGGGAACAGCATGTCTTATCACTGAAGCAAAACAAAACCTCACAAATGAGTTGAAAAGTTACTAATTGAATACTACGAAGACCAGCAACTCTAACATACTCTTCTGGGGGTGGTTCTTTCAAGGAATCCCCAGTATTTGTCAGGTTTGGGGCCAGTTTTCAAGATGCTCCATCATTTGGTACTATCCCTCCCTGATGACACATCGTGCAGCAAGCCACTCACTTCTCTCAGCTCAACTGCTCCCACTGCAAAAAAGTTATCCTGGCTGGCTTTTCTCCATGTGTGTGGTGCGTGCGTGCGTGCGTGCGTGCGTGTATGTGTGTGTGTTGTATGCATGGGTGTATAGGAGTGCACACATCCGTGCATACTCATATTTATGAGGAGTCCAAAGGAGAGCATCTGGGCATCTGGTCATATTCCTCTGAGACGGGTCTCTCATTGAGCTCCAAGATAGGCTGGCAACCAGCAAGCCTTGGCGATCCTCCTGCCTCTGTCCTGCACAGTGCTGGGTTACAGGCACACACTTGGTCATGGTCACCTTTTAGTGTGAATGCTGATCTGAATTCAGTTCTTCATGCTTGCACAGCAAGTACTTCTACCCACCGAGTCATGTCTCCAGCCCAGTCCCTGGCTTCTTCTGAGTATCATACACCTCTGCTCTACTGAACTGCTCTGCCTCAGGCCTGTCCAGCCCCATAGTGTCAGCTTAAACCACTGTCTGGAAGGCACCAAAATCTGTAGCTCTGGTTCAAAATTATCTCCTATGGTTTTCTGCTATTGTTGATAAATCTTCATTTTGAGACATGGTCTTACGGTATAGCCAAGGCTGTCCTGAAACTTGCTCTATCTCCTGGCCTGAAACTTATCACCCTTCTGCATCTGCCCCTCAGTGCTGGGATTACAGGTGAGTGGCTTCTCTCAGGTCTTGCCTGAGCTCTGAGTCGTACCGCTAACTTTAGCCTCTTTAACATTCATGCAGAATCCTCCAGTCTTGCTTAAGCATCTACTTTCTCTTGTCCCAAAGGGCCACCTTCTTCTCTGCTCTAGTCTGTGTCTCACTGGGTTCTTTGCAATTCCTCCATACCCTCCCTTGTCCCATCCCTCCCCAAGCCCAGTGCTTCTGCTGTCACCTGGGTGTGAAGTCTCTTTTGCTTTCCAGTGCCACTGTTGGGGCCCCTTTCAGATTCCCAATCTCCCTTATGGGAATTCTGTGTGGCTTCTAAGGAGCTTCTGAGCCTGTCCTCACCATCTCAAACCATCTACCAGATACTCGCAGTGGAGCACATCCAGGCCCCACCCTATGGTTCTTCTGAGTAATTCCATGCCCTGGAATTACTAGAAATTCTCTGATTACATTGTAGGTTGCCCACCTTGTAACAAGTTCATTGGGTAATTAGGTTTGAAAACAGCTATGGATACCTCAGTTGGCCTAAGCATCGACCCTAGACTCTGCATTGCTGCAAACAACCCTACAGAATGCCTCGGCTGGGGACAGCTCCTTTCACAAACTCTGGGCAGCACACAACCACACAACCGATGGCCAAGAGGCAGACTCTGGATGCTGCTTACAATGTAACAGAGACAATGAGGCACAAGCAAGGACTTGGTCAAACACTTCACAGGAAGTGCTGCAGGGAAAATGATGTAAAGGGCAATAACCCAGAAGTCGACCTAGAAAGGAGTTGTTTTTCCAGCCATCTAAATGTCTGTGTTTCCCCAGCAGTGGACTCTGTCAGGACAGGGTCTGTGCCTTTATAAACCCTCCCCTGGCACAGAAGCCAGTTTGCTAGTGAGTGGAAAATGTAAGTGGACACTAATCTTCAAATCCATGCCAGACAAACAGGATTCTTCCAGCAAGTTCCTGCCTCGGTAGCTGCCTCAATTGTAACTGGGTATTTGGCACACAGGTGTGTTCTGTACTGCAGGGTGTCCGGGAAGTTCTCACCCAGGAGTTTTGTCAACAGCAACTTTCAATGATTTTATTGTCAACACTGCCTTCAAAGCAGTGAAGGACAGTGCTATTCTTGGCTAGTGGGGAGGAGAGATGGGGTGAATCCCCTTGGCTAAAACCCATTCTCTGTGGGTGTGCTATAATTGTAAACTTGACAGGTTCTCCAATCACCTGAGAGATAAACTCCTGGGCATATGTGTTGGAGCTTCAAGAGCAAGATGTGGCCACCATTACAAGTTCCCACCTCAAGCTCCTCTCTTTCCACTTCCGTCTGCCTGAGACTATCCATGCCCAAGGTGGTATGGCTACCATTACAAGTTCACCAATAAAATGCCTACAGGAAGATCCACCCTAAATGTCAGTGGCATCATTAGTCTGCCTGGCTGGGGTCCTAGACTGAATTCAAAAGAGGAACACAAGCTGAGCATAGGCATTCATCACTCTGATTCCTAACTGGAGATACAAAGTGTCCAGCTGCCACCAGGCCTTCCCTGCCAAGATGTGTTGTTGGTCAATAGAGAAGCAAGATAGGTGGGGCTAGGAGTCTAGGAGGATTCTGGGAAATGTAGTGAACTGAGCTGTTGGCATATGATCCCCAGAGAAGAGAATGCAAGTCTGGTGTTCTCAAAAAGATACGTCCTTATAAATAAATATATTGATGATTACGGGTCAATAATTAAGTCAGAGGTAGACAATGAGAGACAATAGCAAACGGTCAACAGCTTATAATTAATATAGTGTCCTGTGTAACATTTCAGGGTTCAGACAGCTCGGCAGGGCCCAGGTGGATGGCAGGGGGTGGGGGAAAACTACAGTTTACATATGGTTGTCAGGAATGGGATCATGAATTTCCACGGAGAATGACAAAAGCTTAAAAGGGATTTCAGAAACAAAAGAACAGAGAGAAGCACGGCTTCTTGTTAGCAGCATTTTTCTCAAGTGGGCTCTGTTTCGCTAGAGACAAGCGGAGACTTCCATGGCCAGTGCTGTAAACTTACACACACCATCTTGGAAAAACTGCAGTTTAAACAGCCATGGTTTTAGCAGGTAAGACACATGGCCAGAAAAACATAAAGATTTACAGTAAAGCCAGATTCAGATGAAGAAAAACCTCTAAAGGTTTATAGTGTGTTTAAAAATTGCGTAGGCTTGAGAGAGAAAAAGAAACAGGATAGTGGTAAAAGAAATAGAGAAGCCAGTTGTGGTTTGCTCCAGAGGCAGAGGCAGGCAGATTTCCAAAGAAACCCTGTCTCAGAGAAATAAATAAATAAATAAATAAATAAATAAAAGTAAAAGAAATACAGTAATAATAATAGATAAATAAGCCACGTAAAGTTGGAAAATACAGAGAGAGTCTGGATACTGCATGCTATTGTGTTTTTCAGTTTTTTGATTGCTCAGGAAGGAACAACTGCTAGAGTACACTTGATTATAAATGCTGCTGAATTAATTCAACTTATATCTTTTGAAAATGCCTCGACTTCAAAATTTAAGTATAAGGATACGTTACTTTGGAAAAGATATTTTATTTCTGTTTCCACAGAAAATGGAAAGCTGAGGATTCCTTCCAGGCTTCTGTGGTTTGATGAACCAAGACCCCTGGAAGCAGTGGGCCAGGTGTTCCAATATCTAAGACAGCTGAGATGATGCAGCCTTGCAGACCACAAAAACAAGGACTTATACAGGTTCCTGTGTTTTGTCATGATGCCCATGGTATGGACAGAGCCCCCTATCAGCAGGAAACAGTTTGGAATGAGCAACATCCAAATTCCCAAATATTGTTTATAAATCTTTGTTTTCATTTGAATGGGGTTGTTTATAATTGGTTGATGATCACAACCAATCTCTTTTTAAAGGTAAAAGGGAATTACGGTATGGAAATTAATACTTTGTATTGGTATGGTTTTTCATTTATTGATACAAATTCGAGGTCAATTTTGTGATACGTATTTCTCCTCTTGTTTAAGTATTGAGTTTATACTGATCTTTTAAAATGTAATGCATAGTTAAATACAGATTATAGACAGTTACTTATAATAGTCAGAATTTAGAGTTAGGTTAGTTAGGTTTTCTAGATATAGAGATATATTTGAGATAGATAGACAGTCTTCAAACCTTTCAAAGACCTTCGGAACATGGTATTTAAAATGGTTTAGGGTTTTTCTTGATAATGGGAAATGTCTTCTCCTGGCAGCACCAATTACTTCTGAGGGGAAGATGGGCATCAAAGAAACTTGTTATGGAGTTTGCTTTCAACATGGCAAGATTAGCCATTTGGGAAAGAAACTGCTCTTGCCTGGACTGCTTGACTTTTGATGTATAAACTGGACATGCAGGACCCACAGGAAAGTGACTGCT